CTACTTTCAAATGTTGATGGTAGCAGCAGCTGAAGTAAAGACATATAAAGGGATAGAACAAGGCCAAGCAGAGGCCTTAGCATCCCTGGGTAGGGTGGATGTGTTTGTCAGAGTACCAGGCTGCAAAACTAGTCCTTTACCTGGAAGGCACTGAGTTCTGCTGCATCTGAGAGCACCATCTCAGCCCAGAGCACTTAGGTGTGATGCTTAGTGTGGTCCAGAGTAGGAGAAACAAACAGCACCAATTCTTTGTGTCTGCTTTGGAGCAAGAGTATGAAGCACCATGAATTAGCTAAATTTATTTTCTAATAAAACCTTTCTCTTCACATCTTTTGAAATTTATTATAGAAATATACCTTGATTCTCCATATTTCCCCCAGATTTAAATACTTCCTAGAATTCCCATAAGAATTTGTTCCATTCTTTACTAAATCTCTGACCACATTTTGCCTTGTGTTATTAAAGGAATGTGTGTGAGTGTGTGTCAGAGAGAGAGAGAGAGACCTCCATTAGACTACAAGCTCCTTGAGGGCAGGAACTTTGTTCATTTTATCTCAATATTTTTTCCATATTGTCTAACACAATGTTTTTCATAAAGTAAGTGCTTAATACGTGTTTAATAAATAACAAATTCTCCAAAAGAGTTGATTTGTATCTGGGCCCTTTTGTAAGAAATACATGACAAAAGTACACCATGAAATCCAATGCAGTGGTTAGAATAGTTTTGCATTAAAAATGTCCTGCAGCATAGTTATAAGAAATTATTCTGGGGAAGTAAAGACTAGAAGGGAGCTCTGGTAGCATAGTGCCTAAGGCACGTGACTGCTAACCAGAAGACTGGCAGTTCAAACCCACCAACCACTCTTTGGAAGGAAGGTTGGGAAATCTACTTCCGTAGTGATACTGCCTCAGAAACCCAAGGAGAGGTTGCTATGAGTCAGGTCCAACTCAACGGCCCATAACAACAAAGACTAGAAAAAAAGAAAAGTAGAAACAACTTATGTGGGATATCTTACTCAGCTTTTTAAAAAATTAATAACCAGCACACAGGAATTACTTAATTTGGTGGCTTTGGTGGTTTTCGTTTCTCTTTCCAAGGCTCTGGAGGTTGAGCTATTTCTTCCCAAAAGGGAACACCAGTTCAGAACAAACATCAGGGTGATTGCTGCTTACATAGGGAAGTTGCTGACCAACGGCAAGGTTCTGAATTTAAAGCAAGGAAAAGTTGCGGGCTTGGGGATGGGTTTCTTTGACTAAAACATACAACCTCCATTACCCTCTTCCTTTTGGTAAGTGTCCAAATACCTGTTCAGTGTCTTTGCCATCCTTTAGAGGAAGTGGCTGACAGTGTACGTGAAGGTCCACAGTAGTGTGTGTGTGGGTCTCTGGTGGTTCACAGTGGCTGGAGAGCAGGTCCAAAGCACTGTGGCAAGAGAGTAGGTTGGAGAGAGAAGTGGGCAAGACTTTGTTTGAAAGTCATATGAGTCAGGTCATAGAGTTTAGATTTTTATCATGAGGGAAATTTTAAGCAAAGGACTATTAGTTTTATAATCATTTTGACCAGTAATTCAGTAGTTGAGCCAAAGAGTGCTCCCCACAGTAATTTCCATCAGCACCCTCAAGGAAACACATATTCTAAATTAGAAACATAACGCTTGTTATACGACTACAGCAGACCAATAAGAATGAGGATAGCTAATATTTATTATAGATGTTTCCTATGTGTCAGACTACTCTTCAGTATTTCTTTTTTTAAATGTGTTAACCATTTAATCTTCACAAGGAGGAAAGAAAACTTAATGTCACACAACTAGTAAGTAATGGTAGTGGGACTTGAGACTACCCAGTCTGGTTTCAGAAGCCATGCTTGTCATCATATATTCTACTGCTTCTGGTGATCACCCTAGCTTCCACTTTCAACTAGGTTGTCACCCCTAGATCCAGTGACAGTGATTCATAGTGAACCTATAGGACAGAATAAAACTGCCCAATACGGTTTTGAAGGTCATAAACCTTTACAGAAGCACACTGCCTTATCTTTCTTCCATGGAGCAGCTGGTGGGTTTGAACCACTGAACCAGATTAGCAACTGAATGCTTTAACCACCATACTACCAGAGCTCCTTGCTGTCCCTAAGCCCCTCTTATATAGAAATTCTAAGTTACCACTGATTCTAGGAGTGTGAAGAATGGACTGGAAAGTCCAGACTACAGGTAGGAATAATGGTTATGAGAGTATTGCCAAAAAAAAAAAAAAATTGAGAGAGAGGGTGGTGACCAGGGGCAATAGAGACAAAAAGAAATGGAGGGATTTGAGAGAAATTAAGGTGGTATTCAAGAGGACTCAGTGATTCAGGCAAGTGAGCAAATACTTATCAAATACTTGGCACTAGTCCTGGTATTCTTACTATACCCAAATACTATAATATTTTTATTATCAGTTGGCTTATTCTCCAGTAAGTCACAGCTTTTATAATGAACTTACAGCAAATAGCTATAGGCAAACTTTATTTAGACTAAAAAGTAATATATAACTTTTATATATAATATATATATATATAACATATATAATATATATAACTTTATAAGTTATGCCATGTTCATTTTCTAATTCAATCCCCAAACAACTCATTATGGCAGGTAAAGCAGGAATTACTATTATTCCCATTTTACAGATAAGGAAAGTGACTACCCAAGGTAAGTGGAATCCTTTGGTCACAAATGCAAGTCTGCTCTATGGCACATCAGTCAAATAACCAGATTGCCTGTTCCTATGTCACTGTTCTCACACACGGGGACCAGTAAGAACTGAGGCTTACTGTGTGCAGAAAGGGTCTATTCATTTCCTAGGGCTGCTGGAAAAAGTACCACAAATTGGGTGGCTTATATGAACAGAATTTTACTGTCTCACAGTTCTGGAGGCCAGGAGTCCAAAATCAAAGTCTTGGTCATGTTGATGCCTTCTGAGGGCTTGAGGGAAAATGTGTCTCATGCCTCTCTCCTAGCTTTTGGTGACAGTTAGTGATCCCTGGCATTACTTGGCTTGCAGCTGCAGCATCACACCAATTCCACTTCCATCTTTACATGACCCTCTTCCCCATGTCTTTGTATCTCTTCTTTTCTTGTTATAAAACAGGAAATCACTGTTTTTGAATTGTTTTTCACTGTGTTTTTATATTGGATTAGGACCCACCCTACTTCAATATGGCCTTATGTTAATCAACGACATCTTCAAAGATCCTTTTCCAAAAAAGGTCACTTTCACAGTTACGGGGGCTTAGGACTTCAATCTATCTTTTTGGGGGCAATTCAACTCAAAACAGAGAGGAAGGGGTCAAATGGTGTCTCTTCTTGGAATCAATTAATCAGATGCTCTGTTGCTGTTCAGAGAGTGCCTGGGTGGTAAAAACAATTCATGTAATTGGCTGTTAACTGAAAGGTTGGTACCTTGGAAAAAAGCCCTGCTGATCTATTTCCCCAAACTCAGCCATTATAAACCTTAGGGAGCACAGTTTTACTATGACAAACTCCACAGCAATTGGTTAGTTCTATTGTTAAAAGCTTTATTTGCCACTTCTATGGCTGTACCTCATAAGGACATGTCCTCCAGGGAAACTGTTTACTCAAATTGTTTCTTAGAAGTCTACTGTTTCCCTCTGATGAGCCCATCCCTGAACCAAGGCAAGCTGGGTATAATAAGACCATTCAAGGCAAAAAGTAAAGTATCTGTGCTTCCATTTTCTCTCTATAGCATCATTCTTTGCCATCTTGTACCCTTCTTTTGTCCTGCCTGTTGAGTAATGTCAGTGTGGGTGTGGAGAGTGTGTGAATTGCCAGCAATGAGAGTGTGGCTGAGGACACCTGCTTGATGATGTATGGACCAGGGCAGGCACAATGGGCAAGCTGCCCAGCAACTGCTTTGCCAACATGTTGGCTCTGACCTGCCCCTCCTGCTCTACCTGAGCCACTCTTACCAGATAAAGCCAGTGTCCTCTCACGGATCATGGTTCCCCTAGGCAGAAAGAAGGGAAACACCCAATATGTGAGCCCCTATGCGTGGAAGGAAGTATAAGGGGACAGATTCTGGAGACAGATTTAATCCTAGCTCTGTCACTTATCAACCGTGTGACTTTGGGCAAGTTACTTAACCTTCCTGTGTCACTTCCTTTCCTATAAAGTGGAGATGATAAATCTATTTATCTCATAAAGTTATTGAAAGGATAAGTGACATAATCCATATATGATGCTTAGAACACCATGTCTGGCATATAATTCTAGCACTCAGTAAAAGTAAAGCAATTATTTCTTATTTATTGTATTCCCCTAATTAAAAACAACTAGCAAGATACTTTTCATAAAGTTCTCACTGGTTGGAATTGGGTGATGGAATTACAGATGATTTTATTGTTCTGTTTCTGCTTATCTGTATTTTCTAAATTTCCTGTGATAAACATGTATTTCTTTTTAAATAAGAAAAAAATAAATTTCCACTAAGAACCAAGGGTGCAGTAGAGTAGGTGTGAATTGGTACAAAATGAAGACCTGACCATAGTCTTTAATAGAGTTTAATGTCTATTGAGGAAGATAGGAATGGCAGACAAATGATACAAGGATGGGCAGTAATGCTGAAAGTGAGCTGAGTATGGAACCAGTACCTCCGCCCCAAGTAGCAGCTGGCGTTACAGAGATGTCATCAGAGGTCTTCCCCAAGAGTCTTTGTATATATTGTTTCCTGATCTGAATAGGTAAGTAAGTCAACACAGTCAGACAGAGGGGGCCACTCCTTAGATGTATCCCAGCGCCCCAGAGGTATGGGGATAGAAGAGCTGAAATTCTTTCTAAGGCACCTATTTCTGGGAAGGAGCTTATGTTGAACAAAACATTGAGATACTTTATGTAGCACCTCTTACTTGTGGCAGATACATATCCAGGATTTACAGCACCATGTGAGATGGAATAAAGAAGTGATTTCCTGTTTTTCTCTCTTTCCACAGTATTATTAGCATCATAATTATTCTGGCTGGAGCGATTGCACTCATCATAGGCTTTGGTATTTCAGGTATGTGATTTCTTGCATCACCATGATCCATTCACTCTTCACCAATAACCACCCCACCCCTAGCCCTTGCCTTAATCCCTCAGTGTGGTAGCATGGAAAGAGCACAGGGCTTGGAGCCAGAAAACTTCAGAGTAGAGCACTGATTCTTCCACCTACTGTGTTCTCTTCACATTACTCACTTACCTCCCTGGGGCTCAGTTTCCTCATTTAGAAAGTTGGGAAACAATGCCCACACCACTAAGTAGTTGAGAGAACCATACGAGATGTTTATCAGAGTGTTCTATATACCAGTCAGTGTTGAAGATGTCATTCTGGGATTATGTGTAAAGTGCCAGGCCTAAGCCACTCTGTCAATGGTTGACCTGGGTAAGTGATTTCTTCGCAATGAAGCTGCATATGAAATCTTTAAAAAGGCAGTCTTTTACATAGTGCTCTTGTGTACAGAGAAAACTGGTCATGACTGCTACACCATGTAGGAAACAGATGCCATGATGGCATGGGCAGTTAATTCCTGAATTATCTGATGTCTGATGCAGGAACAGTCTTCCTTTTTCACTTCTGTGTAGGCCATTTCTCTCAATCATCTATTCTAGATGCCACTTTAATTAAGACACTGAGTTGGGCCAGCAGCTGTCTTTTCTGAGGCAAGATGCTTGCTCTATTTCCCTTAAAATGCCTGACTCAGGCTAACACATTCATTTTAACTTAGTTTGTGACCAAAGCAATCACTTCCTAACTATAGATTTTATAGTTTCAGAACCCAAGAAGTTACTTTTTCTGTCACTCTCTTTCAATGTGGGTGTGCTTTCACTAAATGGTGGTCAAAAGGCCTAAAGCAAGAAAATTAGCTTTCTTTTATTATCAAAAACATGTATTTTGTCTTTTGTCCATTTTCCTATTGGTTATCTGTCTTTTTTTTTTTTTTTTTTTTAATTGTACTAGTTCTTTCTATTTTTGGACATGAGGTGGTTATTTTTTCTGTGTGGAACAAATAGTTACATGCATTGCAAAATACCCTCTACTTTATATAGAGAGAGAGTTTGGCTTTCTACTCTCTTAATAATGTTTTTTAATGACTACAAATTTTTTATTTTAATGTAGTCCAATTTTTCTATCTTTCCCTTTATACTTGGAGTTTCTGTAACCTGTTCAATAAATCTTTGCCTATTCCAAGGCCATGAAGATTTTCTAATAGGTTATCTTCTGGAAGTTTTATTTTACTGCCTTTCACATTTATATCGACAAACAGACAAACAAAAACACAACTCACTGCCATCGAGGCGATTCTGATTCATAGTGACCCCTGTGGAGCTTCCGAGGCTGTTAGTCTTTACGAAGCAGACTGCCCCATCTTTCTTCCAAGGAGCAGCTGGTGGGTTAAACCAGCAGCCTTTTGGTTAGCAGCCAAATGCCTTAACCACTACACCACCAGAGCTCCTTTTTATATCTACAAGCCATCTAGAAATAATTTTGCACATAGTGCAAGATAAGGGTCTTGATTTACTTTTTTTCCATGTAGATGTCTAGTTGATTCAGCATCATTTATTGAAAAGGCTTTCTTCCCCTTTTTCTTGCCATTGTCATCTTTGTCATAAATCAAGTATCCATGTATATGTAAATCTGTTTCTGAATCTGATAATCTATTTCTATTCCAATATTCATTTATAATTAATTTTCTCTTTATTTACATAATTTTATCTCTTTTCCTATTCCTGGTCTTTCTCATTCCTAATCTTGGGCATTATCTCTCTCTCTCTCTTTGCCTTTCTCTTTTAAAAAAGAATTACAAAGTGTTATTAGCTTCAGAGTATTTTTCAAAGAACAAGCTTTTGGTTTTATTTATAGTTTCTCTGATTTGTTTTCCTATGCCATTAATTCTGCTTTTTATTTTCTTGCTGTGTTTTGTTGCTTTTTAATTATTTTCCTATTATCTTAAAACAAGCATTTCATAAAAGAGTACATCCAAAAAGCCAATAAATAGCTCTAGTAGATATAGCCATCCAGTTTTCCAAAGTGATTTACCAATTTACTGTTTACCAGAAGTGTATGAGAGATTCAGTGCTCCATATTCCTACCAACACTGGACATTGTAGAATCTGTAGTTTTAATTTATAACTCCTGGTGAAAGAGGAGATAGAGTATATTTTCATATGGGAAACATGATGCTGAGTGAAGGAGCCAGACACAAAAGAGTACATTGTATGATTCCATTTCTATAAAGTTTAAAAACAAGCAAATGAACCTCTGTTTCCAGAAGGCAGGATAATGATTGTTACTTTTGGGGAAGAGTGAGGGGTAGTAATTAAGAAAGGGCACAAGTAGACTTCTGGGGGTGGTAAAGTTCTAATTTTTTGGTGTGGGCGGTGGTTAAATTGGATGAATTTGAAATAATTCTTCAAGGTGTACAGTTATGTGTGCATTCTTAGTATTAAGAATTAAATTATTAATTACTTATTAAAGTATTAAGTAATACTTTAATACAAATGTATATGTGTGTATATATAGATATATAATAAGCAATCATATATAGATATATATGTATATATGAATATGTATTTTTTTCTTTACAAGGAAATCAAACAATATTAACTGGCAAAGCAACTATTTTGGAATAACTTTAAAAGATACTAATGCTAAAATATATTTTAGTACCTTCCTCATTAATGCTTAACTCTTCCTTAACTAGTTATAATTTATCTTATTCCTGATCTTATACACCACTTTGAGATAAAAGAATTAAAACCCTAGCATTTGTCCTTCACCTTAAATCATAGTGACTAAATCCTCTTGCACCTAGGGCTAACTGACTCTGCATCATAGCACTTATAGAGTTGTTTATCTTTTTGGTTTATCATTTGGTTGTTAGTGACTTTGACCACCCTAGTAAGTATGTTCATTTAGTCACAGCTTCCCTGTAATAGTCAACACTATTGCTACTTATACTTTTTCTTGTTTCATAGCTATAGTGACCTCAAGTGTTTGGCTCAGTTTCTTGAATACAGAGGGTGTTCCTTGATTATTTTCTGAATGGACAAATGAGTGGATACGTGGAGTATTCAGGTATTTGTCTTCAACCTCATTAATTCTGTCTTGCATTGCATCAATTCTACTCCTTTCCCCTTCCAATGTGTTATCTATTTCTAACAATTTAGTATTAATCTTCTGGATTTCTATCTGTAGATTTAGAATCGTTTCTAATTTTTCATTTATTTTATCATTTTGTTCTTGAATTTTCTTCCAAAATTCCTCCAGGGTTTTTTCTGTGTTTTCTTTAGTCTGTCTCTCAATCCTTTGAAGACACCTAAATAT